AGGTTTCCAGATGGATACGCGGAGCAAATCCATCTGGCGGAGTCAGGTTAATTAGAAACACCAAGGAACTCTAAAACCCTCTCTCACCACTGGGTTGAGAAAACAAGAAATAATCTTACCTTGATGAATGAGAGCAAGCAGCTTAAATAGAAGCAGGAGCAGGTGGATCAAATGAGCTGTGATTAGAAACCAGGCAGAGTTAGACAGGTGAATGGAATGAGTAATTGAGCCAGTCATCAGTGCCAAGATCATGACATAACATTCCTAGACAGTTACCCAACAAAGAATGGCCAGAGAGAGACAGGGGAAGAGATAAGGCTAAGGTCAGGAATCTAACCAAGAAAGGATATGTGGGGCTCCTGCTCTACTGCTATAACACTCTGAGTTCAGTTTTAAATTATATATACAGTGCTGCAACACAGCCTAAAGGTAAGGTTAAATTGCATTAAAAGCCTATTTAGCTCTGATAAAACAGTCATTGATTTAAATGTTTAATTCTCTAAGTAGTGATTAGGATCTCATTTTTTAAATGTTAAAAGCTTGTATTATTAAAAAGGTTCAGGTGCAGAAATGTTGGTTTCAGTATGAGCAATTTGAATCAATAGGAAATACCTTGAGAGAAATTATGCTAAAATGAAATCTCACTGTTTGAATTTGAGTGTTCTTCAACAGTTGTTTTTCCACAAATTAAATTTGGTTTGCAAATGATGGCATTTCATTCTGGCTGGGTGGCAGATAACAAGAGACCAATTTCACATGAGAATGATCTTCAAAGAAAAATGTGGTTTATTCCTCTTTTATTGCTTAACAGGACCTTTACCGGGATTACAGCACTATTCCTTCCGGCTTATGGTTCTTAGTATACTTATCAGGAGCTTAGATATCAAAGTATTTCTTTCTTAGTGGCTGCAAACAGCAGTTCAGAAAGCAGGTTCCCATTAAGTTCCCAAAAACTTAAAAAAAAAACAAAAAAAAACCCACTTGTCATGTTGGGCTTCAGGTGCCTAACCCACATGCAGAAACACTCGTAGACTGGGAAAAAGTTCAAAGATTTATTGAAGTAAAGCACAATCAATAAACAGATCCAGGGTTTACAGATCCAGGACTGGTCACGAGTGGGTTCACTGGAGAGGGGGACAGAGGAGTTAGTGGATGTCCAGGTAATTTGCAGGATGAAAGTATGCAGGTCTGTACCTGTTCAGGAGTTTGAGCAGAGCGGCAGAGGGGGGGGAAGCGGGAGGGTCCAGAGGCTGTCGGCAGGCTGAGGGCTTGGCGGAGGCAGAGCTTGGTTTGAGTGTTTGCAGATCACCGGTTAGAGTTTCCCTTCCAGATTCTTCAGAGATCGTGCAGGCAGGTCTTAGGCAGGATTGATTCTCCAGGGTTCTTCAGAGATCAGACAGGCAGATTTCCAACAAAGGAAACTTTTCAGGGTTTTCAGGTTTTCAGGCAGGTTCAACCTGGGAAGCAGAGAGGAGAAAACGGATCAGGTTCAGGTTTCAAGGGAGTCAGAGATTCAGACAGGCAGGTTGGCTCAGGCTTGCTAACCATAACTGGCAAACACTCTGGCGTTGGAGAGAAGTCCTCTGCCTCCTTAAGTAGGCCCAAGGCTGACGAGGAGATGAAAGACAGGTGTTGCAGGTGAGCACAAGCCCTCAGGAAGGGATCCTTGGCGCCCTCTGGTAGGCAAGCCTCTGGATCCCAACAGACAGCAGAAGCCCTCAGAAAGGGATCCTCGGCGCCCTCTGGTGGGCAAACCTCCAGATCCCAACACCACTAGATTTTGTTTCCAAGTTTGAAGACATTTTGCTTCCCATACGGGAAGCTTTTTTAAATTAAAAATGTCAGAAATATTGGTGAGTTTGAGCCTTATTTTGGCTTAGAAAACATCCGAACAAACAGGTCAGCCCCTTATGAATGGCCAGTCATTTGGGTTCTTAACAGTTACCATTAAACTTATGCAAAAGCATGATCTTATGTTAAAGGCTCTTTCTAAAAAAGTTTTAATAGAGGCTACTTCTTTTAGGGAAAATGACACAATATTGTCATCCAACCACTAAGAAAGGTGCCTATATATCTTCTAGGGGAGTTTTCCTCTTATTGTCTTCCATGGCACCGTTAGCGACCCATACAGAGCTGTAATATGTCACGCCCAGGGTTTTAAAGTAGGCAAAATAATTTTTTTTAAATAAAAATAGCCATACAGCATTATGCTGTTTAGTAAAAACATATATAATCTGCCAGAGGTACTAACTTGTAACTTCAACTTTCCCTGTAGTTTCCTCCACTCTGTTCCTAAACTCTGGAACTCTTTCACATCAGACATAAATAACATAGATACTCTTCCTCTGCTAAAATCCACACTTAAAACCAGCCTGCTCAACAATGTTTGTTTACCCCTCAATGATCTATATGACCTAGTGCATTTTATCTTGTTGTTCTGTCAATTTTTATTTTGAAATTACCATGAGTATTGCAAAAGACAACCACAGAATAAAGGAAATGTCGTCTTTTTATTATTATCAATAATGATAATACAATTTATTTAAAAGGCACCTTTCTTGACACTCAAAAAAATAAAAACATGTTGGCATAAGCAAAGTCAAAACAGAATAAATACCATTTCAAAAATAAAAAGGCTGTGACAGGGAGATTGATATTAAATAGAATAGGCATTATTAAACAGATTAATTTTGAGACGTGATTTGAAATGGAGAAGAGAATTGTTATTATGATTAGTCATAATTGTACTGCATTCTGTGCTTAGGAGGCATTTTGGATATTGGATAATGTTCTGAATTTCCCAGTCAGAATTCCAACGTAAAAAAACAAAAAATGTCAGTAATAAAAGGATAAGCATTGACTAAAAAAAAAATTAAGTATGACCCATTTGTACAGTATAATAATATACTGCAGATGTTTCTATACAGAGGAAACAATTACTTAAAAATGCATGTTTGTTTTCTTGATTGATTTGTGGTGTTTAGTTTTATTCTGTGTTATGGATTTACTCTCTAGTTTTTCTTTTTATATTTTTTACTTAACAATCATCTGAGGATAGTCATTGTAAATTAGCAAAGGCTTTAATCAGAATCAGACATATTTTAATAATCCCAGAGGGAAATTATTTAAATAATCCCTGAGGGGAATTACTTTAAATCTTAAATTCCATTTCATAAGACTAACACTGAACATAATACTATAAATACTATATAGTAGTACAAGAAAACTAACAAACTGAACTTGACATCTGCAGGTATAAGTTTTTTTATTAAATAGAAAATAAATGAATATTTAGAAAATACAAAGATCTGTCTAATAGGACATTTTTCCACTATCATCCTCTACCTTCCAAAATTAAGGGAAGCATTGCAAGAATGCCAGAGGAGGATGTATATGAGCAGTCCTCTGTGAGTTATGTTGCTTAGTGCACATAGAAAAGAAGTAAGTTGTTGGATTCAGTCCAAACTCAGTTATCAGCAACATCTGGAATCCATGACGGACTTTCACCCAGATTCCAGACTAGCAGAATAATAAGGCCAGCAAGGCTTTTGGTGTTTATTCAACTCTCAAAACTGTATGAAATCTGAGGGTAAGTTCATGTAACTAGCAGCTGTTGAAGATATAAATCATGTTCTTCCACATTTTTTTTTCATATCCTTACCTTTAGTTTCCTCCTCCAGATATATCTTAGCTCCTAGAGCAGGGGTCACCAACCTTTTTAAGGCTGAGGGCCACTTCAATGGTACCAACACGTAGGAAGGGCGACCATTACTGTCCCATGAGCTGCAAGGGTTAGCGTTAGCCTAAACTTTGTTCATTATCAACATATTTTTATTGTTTCTGGTAATTTCTAAGCTTATTTAGACATTGTCATTTTGAAATCTCTATAAATGATTAAAAAGAAGAGCAACAGAATAAAATAAAATTTCAAACTTAGCCCACTGGTGGGTTGTTCTTTATTTAGAAGACTCTGAGGGCCCCCCATGTGGTCCTTGAGGGCACCTTGGTGCCCACGGGCACCGCGTTGGTGACCCCTGTCCTAGAGCATAGACTGTAATACTTCTACAGAACAATTTAAAATTGGTTTACTGATTGATTCCAAAAAAGTTAAAGAACAATCCGCTGCACTTTTTTTCCAAGTTTGAAGACGTTGCGCTTCACATCCAGGAAGCTTTTTCAATTAAATTTGTCAGGAATAGCGTTGATTTTGAGGCTATACACAGTAGCCCAATTAGCCCTTGTTTTTGTTTAAAAAACATGCTAATTGAAACGGACAAGCGGGTCCAACGCTTTGCCTACAAAGCTCCATACCTGTGTATGTCTATAAAAAGGGGGGTCGCTAAGGGGAATTGTTGGCCTGGCTGAATAGGCGAGGTCTTTTCTAAACGAAAAAAAAAATGGCTTGTTGGGCTCCTCTGTATAGCCTGGAACTCATCACTATTTCTGACATTTGCATTGAAAAAGCTTTCTGGATGGGAAGCGAAACGTCTTCAAACTTGGACACAAAGTCCAGTGGATTGTTTTTTTTTTTTTTTTTACTTGTTTGGAACGACTATGACCCGGATGACTGAGAATCTTCACCAGCATGTTTACTGATTCATTTTCACTGTCTTGTTAATGTTTAACAATGTGTATCTATACAGTAAATGTAGAGTAGAAAATGCAAAAATGGCGCAGTTGAAGGATTTTGCAGTTTACAGGAGCAGGATTTTTAGAAATGCACCTGGTGGTGTATCAAACTGCTTGCACTTCCACTCTGCCAGCTGGTTTCTATGGACTATAACGTCTGAGTGTTTCCTTCCCAAACTCAAAGTGTTCACTTTGACCTGAAGCATTGCATTCAGAGAATCACTGTGTCCCTCATCACTTCTCATCACCTCTGCCCTCCCTGTCTAATTTCCACACTGTCCCCTCTCCTTCATGTTGAAACTCTTTTCCCCCCTCTTTCTTTTCTGTCGTTTGGTTCGTGTTTCCCCCTCCACCTGTCTTTTACTCTTTAGGTTCTGGAGATGCTGCAGCCGGTGGCTCCGGACTCGGCACCGGAGCAATTGTGGGAATCCTCATCGCTGTTTTCTTGTTGCTACTGGTTGCTGTGGATGTCACCTGCTATTTCCTCAACAAGTGTGGACTCCTCATGTGCATCGCTGTAAATGTCTGTGGGAAGGCTGGCCCAGGTGCAAAGAGCAAGGATATCGAAGAGGGAAAGGCAGCGTTCTCGTAAGTTTATTTATGTTTTTAATTTGATTCAGTTGAGGACTTTTTTATTTTATTTTAGGGTCTGTAATATATGCACGGTTATAACCTGTTCTCAGCTCAGGAACTAGGACCCGTATGATAACTGGTTGTTCAATAGGTTTGCCTAAATAAAAGATTTACATATATATTCCTGCAAAAAGGTCTGATGTTGCAGGGGAAGGTAATGAAAAGTGTTTGGAGCATGCTCTTGTTCTGATGCCAGATTGTTTCAGCCTTTATCCAGTCTTATGTAGAAGGGTTGCTCATATCACAGGTTACGGTATTTGCATTACAACAAGGACACTTAGCAAGGTAGAGTGAATACACAAACTTGAAGAGGGGGAGGGGGGCTTGCAGGAAAACTGGAATTCTCTGGGACTTCTAGTGTTAATGTAATTATTTTTCTAAACCTCTTTTGCTTGAGTTTAGTCTGCTGCAATAAAATATTTTAAGTATTATTTTAATTTTTTTTACTCATCCCAATCAGGTATACCAAGTATATATAGACTTAGACAGACTTTATTGTCATTTTGTACACAAAGGCTGCATACAAAAGGAAATTTTGTTCAGTGCAGCTCTCAAGATATTTCAATTTCTTAAAGTTAACTTAAAGACTGAGATATGATTAACAGTTTTCCAACATTCAGCGTTTTTTTATATATATATATTTATATATATATATAGAAGGTTTTCTAAAGATAGCTTTTTCTCTAACAGTGTATTCTAAGTAGAATGTTGTTAATACTATTAGGAGTCACTGCTAGAATTTTGGAGTACAATATTTATTAATGCAACCTTCTTGAAATCCATTTCATCCTTTGTTTGATCAAAGATTTAGCTCTATATGCCAACCTGTATCTCATTATGGAAGAAATGCAAACGAATAAATATTTCAGCCAAAGCTTACATAAAACAAATCTTCAGAGGGTTCGCCATGCTGCAAACAAAGTAGCACAGTCGGGATCTGCAGAGATGTTTTGCACCTTCAGATCTCCGACATGTCGTTCCCTGCCAGCAAACACTTTAAAGCTGAACACAATCAGAAAGTCGAGTCTGGCGGTACAGCTAAGCCCTAAGGGGGGAAACCTGCAATCAGAGCACGCAGGTTGGTGGAGGCGGAGGATGATCAAATATTGGTTTGAATCAATGAGACAGGGTGTTTGATAGCTGAACAGACAATCCATGTGTGTCTGATTGTTCCGGCTCATTTTTTACAGCAGTTTTACACGGCTGCTGATCATATGTGAGGTAACCATGTGTTTGCGGATTGTAAGAGCAGTCTGAGTTTAACACAAACATGCTTTCATTTCTTTATGCGTTTGTTGTTTTCTTTCTGACAATAGGCAAGATGAGTCTAAGGAGCCTATTGTGGAAGTGAGAACAGAGGAAGCAAACACCCCAAACCAAGGAGGAGGGGTTCCGACTGAGCCCAATGAGACCACCCCACTGACAGAACCAGAGTGAGTAGAAAGCAGCTTAATTGGCTTTTTGATAAGCTTGTCTGTGCAGCTAATTGGTTGATGGGGACCTTGGATAGTAGCAGTTTATTCAAGCTAAACATAAATGTAATAAAATATGTTTAAAATTTTTTCATAACCAATGAAAAACCAGCTTTAATGTATATTATTAGAATTTTATGTGATAAATCAACACAAAGTAGAGCATAATTATAGAGCGAAAGAAAATTCATAGTACAAGAATATTTAAAATTGCTCTGTCTGATATTGATTGGATGGAGAAAGCCTGTGAGTATAACATCTAGAGCTAATTTCCTTTTGGATTAAGGTTCAAACTTTGAAAAATCCATTCAACCACATTAACATATAAACCATTCCATCTATCTCTGGCTACACCTAAACCATAGTCCTAAACCATCCACAGACTCGCACGTTTTCCATCCATTAACTCGGATTCCCGGTCAATCCCAAAGAAAGGCATCACCATACCCTGATGCTTCCTCCACCATGTTTCAGGGTTGGAATAGTGTGTCTGATTCCACCACAATTGACATTTTGCATCAGGACAAAATGGCAATGTGGTCTCATCTTTTCAACGCTTGCTATGTCCCTTCCATAGCTTGTGGCTGGAAGTAAAATATGTCTTTTTATGGTCTTCTGCTTGAAAGCTTCCTCTATCATGGATTATCCTGTCAGCAGATTCTCCAACCTGAATAATATATCTATGCAGCTCCTGCAGAGTTGCAACGAGTCCTTCCTGATTTTTTTTTTTCTCAACCTGCCAGTTAAGGTGGACATCCACGACTTGGTTGGTCTGCAGTTGGTTCATTCTGCTCTTTTTTGTTCTTATCCAAACACTATATGCATTCACTGAAGCTTCATTTATACTCTGATTAAATTACACACAAATGGACCCTATTTACTAAAAAGTAACTGGTTATACAGGATCTTATTTAGCAGAGTCTGAGTAAAAAAGGGGTAGAACAGAAAATGACGGCACATTTTAGATTTAATTTGAAAGCAAAGTGTCGATCATTTTCTTTCCACTTTCCAATAATGTTCTACTCTGTGTTGCTTAGCCACATAAAAAGAGCCGAATGTTCCCTTGCTTTTCTTACTATGAGGGACAATAAATAGAGAGACACATCAGAATTTTATATTTTAGGCTAAGTAGTTGCATTTTCATGTCCCACAATAAAAGAGCGCTATATGATAGGAAACTGTTTAAAGGGACAATCATGCGATGGTTATTTTGGAGTACAGTCGTGGAGTTTTAACAACACAAAGATAAAAGAAAACAACTGATGTATTAAAACCAATACCATTATCCATAATGTAGCATTTCAGGGGTTGATGGTTGTACTGGACTATATTGCAACAGGATTTATGGGGCTTTACGTGATTCCAGAACAAAACATCTCTTTAGTCTTTATAAAAGGCTGCGAACACGTCAAGTATAGCATCTCCTTTGTCCTTGAAAAACTGCATGTCCTTCCTTTTTATTTATTTTTTGGTTTTACCCTCCAGTATTTTGTTTCTTACATTTTGATTGTATAGATTTTTACTTTCTTCACTTGAGCACAAAAGCACTTACTACCTTGTTGTTACCCTAACACTTTTCTTTTTTTTTTTGGTTCTGTGCTTCCTCTCTCCTCCTCCTTCACCTCCTTCCTGTTTTCCCTCTGACTCCCTGCCAAACAGACCTGCTGCTGCAGATTCCCCACACCCCGTGGTAAACGTACTCCCCTCCACTGCTGCTAACTCGGTTACTGAGAGCTTAAGCACGCCGCAGACTAACCCCTCTGACTTGAAGCCTTCTCCTAAAAACACCACAGAGGCCCTTTCCAGTTCCCCAAAAGCTGACCCTGAATGCAATGTTGGACCCCTGGTTGACCTCAGCGACACACCCAAAAAAGCCCCTGCCTCCAGCCCTCCTTTATTAGAGCCAGTTAGCCCACCTTCTGCCAATGCCGACGGGCCACAGAGTCAGTGTGAGTCAGTCAAAGCTCCCAACTCCACCCAGAGTAAGGACTCACAAGTAGACGGCTCAAGCAAGGATACCAGCAATGCCCCATGCTCAGACTCCACCTCATCAGGCCAAAACGAGTATGAACATCTTTGTTTCTTTTATTACCCGCTTATATTCTACTCATGTGTGCTGCCATTCTTTTTTGGAGAACTTCACTCTTAAATAAAAAACAAAGCAAAATTTCCGTGCAGATCACACGGAACAGCAGCATTACAGTCCGTTAGCACAACTTGATATAGATGAAACACATGATATAGATTAATTACGCACATAGTGTGTTTATTGCTGTTAGTTTAGCCGATCATTTGCTACAAATAAAAGAAAAAATCCAACTAAAAAGTTAAAAAAAATCTAGGAAGAATAAATATAACATGAAAAGAAAAACATATTCAATACTGCTATATAATGGGCTATATATTTAGTAGTTCTCCAGCATCATTCAGCCCACTGTTATCCACCATGGTGGGGATCTACTGTGTTTCAGCTAGTTCAACGTCTCCTTAGCCATCTATTGGGACATTTTAGAGGACTTTCAGCACCCTTGCCAAAAAGCTTTTGCTAGATGCTCATTGAAAACCACAATTGGTACTTTGGTTTCATTGATGGGAGCCAGTTGCCAAATTTCCCTGAGCTAAATCCCACAGAGACTATAAATTGCAGTGGAAGATGAGAGACACCAGAACTATGATCTGCTCCATGCTACACTGCATTGATGCAGTAATTAATGCAAAAGGAGCCCAGAGCAAGCTCCTAGAGTAGATATTGTTTAATATATGGACATATATATTCAATTAGACCATATTGCTTTTTCTTTTTTATTGTACTAATCTAATATTCTAATACATCTAATATATTATATTCTGTTTTATTCTAATTAGCTGTCACATGGTGTGAAGTTGATCTGTATGGTTCATCACTTTAACTTTTGACTCAAAATAAATTAGAATATATTCACTTTCAATGACTTTACTTGTTAAATGCAGCTGTTAGATGTCATTTCACTGAAGCTCACTCACATTTAATTCTAGTAAGATCTACAGAACGCTGCTAAGTTTTGAACAAATGTGATTTAATGTAAAAAACTGTTAATCATAGGTGGAAATTTGATATGAAGAAACTAAAACATGCAGCCTAAAAAAAAAAGACCAGTCATTCACCCTTACTAAAATAATGTGGTTTTAAAGCCCTCACACTGGCTTTAGATCAAAGTGTGAAAAACGTTTTAAAAGTCGTGCAAATTTGATCAGCCTTATCACATTTCTTCAGCTCTTAGTAAATCTGCTGACCTGTGGAAGATATTGATGGTATTGATCCCGCTCTGAAATATCTTGGACCATTGGCTCGTTACCAGGATCCAATAATCATTAAGCGTAGGCAGAGACCCAGCAGCAGAAGCTGTGTTTTAACTGAATCAATCATGTGGGTGAAGGAGCACAGCTGTGGCTGCAGACATTCTCCACATTTCAGAGGTTAGAAGAACTCAGGCCTACAGTAAATATCCATAAATTCTTCAGTGGAAAAGAAAATGCATTAGTTACACATGCATTAAAAAATAAGTTGGAACATCAGCACTTGTCAATGTCAGGTTTAGTTTAAAGACCATTTAAGAGTGAAGTTTCCTTAAAGGTCTCCAGAGGTTGGCCATCCAGCTGAATAATCATCCTCTGCATGCCTGTCGCCCTCCATCCACCGCCTCCATTGACCACCTGTTTGTATATTAACCTCACAGAGACATGCTTTCTCCTTCCATAGAGCTTGTTAACTCTCATCACTGCAGGTCTTCTCTGTGGTTAACCGCTCTCCACTTTAAGTAACATGTAGCCGCCGCATGCAGTTTGTTGTGGAGCATACCTCATGGTAGCTGGAAAGATTTAAAAACTGAAACATTTTGAAAAAACTTGAAGAAAAAAGACATTTCTGCATTGTCACAAAAAAAAAAAAACTACAAATCATTATTATTTATTATTTTTATCATTTATTTTTCCATTAAGAAGCACTATGTTTTTTTTGGTTTATTATTTTAATACAAATAAGCAAAATTCATAAAATGAATGAAAAACTGTAAAATTCTTTTAAACATAATTAAACAAAGCCCTATGGAGTTGCACATAAGCTCAAAAAACATTTATTTAACAAAATAAGGAAAAAAGAATTAAATGATAGTAAATAAAATAAAACTGGACAATACATTAATAGAAAAAACTCAAATAAAAATATGTATCCCTTGCGATATTACGCTGTACAAGTGATCTCCTTCAGGGAAATTCTCGTTCCAGTAGCTTATATAGAGTACAAAGGGTTAAAGCAAGATGCCATTAAAGGTAAAAATATGACAGACAATATAAAAAGTGTGTATATAGTACAAAAAAAGCATAAAAAAGAAAAGTTGTAATGTCCTGGAATATGATTCCTTTAGATATAAACATATCTGCACAGTAGAGAGCTAAGGGAAGACTACTCAGTAGTTGACTTCGGTTATTGCACTTGCACTGCAGAGATATACTGACCTTACAAATAAGTAAAAACATTAAACAGTCTAAACAGTAGTTGGCATGTGTTATTGCACAGTGAGAGAGAAGAATATTGCACATAAGTGATAGGGTTGGAACGGTTCACAAAATCCACGGTTCGGTTCATGGTTTTCGGTTTGGTTCGGTATATGTTTATTTTTACACTGAAATCCCATACAAATGAATGAAAAAAATCCAAAAAAATGTATGGATTGTAATTATTTTTAATGATCCGCGGAAACCTTGGATTATTTCCGCATGTTTTGCTGCTTTGAATTTAATCATCTGGCGCATGCCCTCTACGATCTCCAAGGAACTCAGGGGGGAGCGGACGGGAGCCACAGCGGAGGCTGTAGGCTTTGCTTTGTGCAGCCGGTCTGGAGCGCAGCGGAGCGGAGCGCTGACAGAGTATGTGGGATTTCAGGGTTAGCCTGACATGTTGGTCGTGTTGCTGTTAGCATAAA